ATAATAATAATAATAATAATTTTCTCATGCCTACAATATTTCTCCTAAGTATCATAGAGATGGAGAACATTATGAAACATATTTGGTTTAAGAACCTTCCTTGCCCTACAGAAACGAAAGAAAACAGGGAAGACACAATACATGTGGGGTCCACTTTTTTAAATAATATTTAAATCAGGTGGGACTCACATCACGTGAGTATTCTATATAATATCTGGCAATGGATTTCTATACATTCACCTTAATTCTTTGGTTTAAATAAGACCCTAGGGAACAATTGGGATTAGGGGTTTAGTTTTACCTACCTACATTGACATACTACTTCATTAATAGTATACTTAATTGTGCCATTAGTCCAATAATTAGTCAATAAGGACATGGATCTTGAGTTGCACCAAAAAGTGTATCACACCACCCCAAAATGCTTTCACGACAAGGAAAAAAGTGAAAAATATGTCTAGAACACTATCCACCTATGTAAGACGTGATAGACATCCTCCACCTAATTTTCTTTTAATTTATCTTCTTAAATGACGCTTCGATTTATTTGTTTTTATAATTTATCTTCACTCTTGCTCTACATCCCCTCTCACGTACATGTTATTCACAATTAGTATAATTCACGTTTCATTAGAGAGATTCTTATCTTCATTTCCATATTGCTTGCCACATGTATTACAATTCACATTGTCGCATTGAAGATGCTCTAACTTTCTATAATAACGATCTGTGCTTTGCTAACTCTCGATGAAAAATTAACCCGAAAGTTAACTAATATTTTGTGCAATGAAACATGCCGACGAAACTCACTTTGAAAAACAACTCGATCGACCTACAAGCCTTATAACTGTTCCAAAGCCCCTTCCTAGAAACTCAATCATACTCTTATCCATTAATGAAAACGACTATTTTCCTATACGATGTTCAAAGCTTTTTGTTTTACGAGAAAACACTAGTTGTAGCTAAACTACCCAAGTAAAATAAATGGGAAGAAAATTTAAACCTCACCCTCAAGCCTCAACCTAACCTTAAAATCAATTGGAATACCAAAAGAGACTTACCAAAGCTTAATGAAATGACTAGATCTTTTGATTGAGGCAAAGTGGTGTCATCATTTCAATGCACAAACTGCAGGCAGTATAGCCATTTTTTCCCTCGCAGTTCCACGATTCCTGCAAAAACCACTCCTTAATCACTGTTAATTAATTTACTTTAAACTAATATCATAATTCAGCCAAAAGTTAGGCATAAATTGCTGTATGAGAAGACATTTATTTAATAAGTATAATCACATTAAAAATGAAATCTTTGTCTTAGAAATGGAAATAAAAGAAGAAGAAAGCAAAGAGCATCTTTTAATGTTGTCTTTCTTTGTCTAATTTAGATGGATGTTTTTTTAGGTCTAGGACGACTTCACAAAGAACAAGTAAACTGTATATTGCAAAAATTTTAGCTATTCATGCCCTTGTCATCATTCGTTTCATGACGTTTTTTATTGGTTCATGATCATTTTTATAGTCACTACGTTGTTTAAATCACGCAAATACGGATTCGTAACTTATGTATGACATATTTAACCATTCATCAATAATCATCTAAGTCATTTTACATTTCATTCTTCACCGATCGTATTAGGGAAGACTTCTTTTTTCCCCAATATATAGATACACTACTCAAACTCTCATCTAATTTTATTTTATTTGATTTTATCACTTGCTATAAAACAATTTGATTTGATATGTAATTCCAAATGATACTTAAACTAAATCGAATCAAACTACATCCACCCTCAAATTCGATGACTTCTCATCCCTTACATATGTGATTAATAAGTATATTATGTGTAAGAGTACACCAATGAATTAGAACCTGAAGTTAAAGCCCCCCATTTGATAACGATTATTTGAAATTTCTTTTTTCTACTTACTTATTTTCAACTACACATTTACACAATAGAATATTATGTACATAAATTCAATTTTTTTCCTACTCTTTAATAACATATTTTCCTAAAAATTACTATTTAAAATATTATTATTTTTTTTCAAATAATGGTTGTCATTTCGGACAATTTTTTATAAGGGGCATTTTTTTTTTTTTACTCCCACTTTTACTTTTTTTCAGTCATTTCAACCTTTTATAAGGTGGTGGCTACCAGCCTTCCTTCACCTGCCCTTGACCCTACCTGTCTAATAATGCCACACCCTCTACCCATTAACGTGTGTCCCACTTTGCCTTCTCTTCTATATGTTTGATATGAAGGATTTGAGTGACTATTTTACAACAGTGTGGATGGCCGGGAGGGGGGTGCATTCTCTTGTGTGATTATAATAAGTTTATATATTTGTCGAGTAGATATTCAATTATTTTGTAATAATTTTTATTTAAATATACATACGACAGTCATCATTAGAGACATGTTTGGAAAAAATAATAGATTGTGTCGAACCCGCATTAGTAGGGAATTGTAGTGACCAGGTCAGGATGACGATTTATCATATGCAATGTGATGAGACCATTATGGAAGAGAGAACATATGAGCTAGGAACCAAAGTTAATGACCAATCTTTTTATTCTTGCTTTAAACCATCGGCCGACAGTAAAAAAAGGGGCACTTGGGATTATTTTTTTTGACTTAAGATTTATTTTTCTAGAAAAGTAAGTTTAACTTAGTTTTTTATCCACAGCAAAACATGCTTTGGTGATAAATGTCCTTTCAAATAAGAATAATGTTATACATTGTAAAGACTATTGACAGTCGTTTTATGTGGTATATATATGACAGTTTATCATTTGATGCATTAATGTGATAAATTTTTATAACCTAATACATCAAATAACAAACTGTCGTGTGTATGTTACGTTCGACAACTATCAGTAATTTTTATTATTAATAGCATTACTCTTCAAATAATTAATATTTGAATCATAACAACAAACAAGCAATTAGAAGACAAAATGAGCTTCACAAACTTCAAGAAAAATTAAGGATGAAAATCCATGAATTGGGACGCTAATAAATTTGTTGTTATGTCCTCGCATTTGTACTCGAAGTCCATAAAATGAGATTTATATTCCATTTTTTTTTGGCATAAAAATGGGTGATTTTAGTTTTATTTATATGCTTTTTGGACAATACTTTGTTCTTTATAATATTATATTATCCACAGAATTTTCTTTATTACATTTCTAATAAATTGTTTTAAACTTTTTTTAATGATATTCGAGGCTTTAACGTATCCCATCGAGAATGACACATCTCACAGAGAACATACAAGAGCCCACTTACATTAAATCCTAGATTCGAGTAAAATTATTCTACATTGGATTTTATTCTTAAGATTTTGTGTTATTCTACATTGGATATTTAATTTTATCCTTACATTTTTTATGCATTTATAATACTATATAAACTTTTTACTTAATTTTCTTTTAATCCTATTTGGTTCTTTTTAATCCTTTCTACCATGCATACTAATTAGTTAGACTATGGAAAGTCCAAAAGTATGGAATTTGCATGGAAAGAAAATAAATTTTAGACAATTCAATTACATATAATTTATTTGTATAGAAATTATTAATTAAATGTGTTTGATTGATTTAATTTTCAATTTAGAAAATATTGCACTTGTCGTTTTTAATTGTTGGATAGATGAGAGAGAAGTGATGTATGAGAGTGAGAAAGAGAGAGTGAACCACCGCTCTCTAAAAAAAATATTTTGATTGAGAAGGGATGTATGCGAGTGAGAAAGAGAGAGCTTGTTTGATTGATTTAATTATCAAATTTTCTGTGTCTTCTTTAAACGAAAACTTATCAAATTTTCTTATGTTTTCTTTTAATTTTGATTATTGACAATGAGAAGCACATTCGAATGTGAAATTTGTTTTATAACAATCTCAATATTGAATTCATAAATTGAAAATTTGAAATATTTTAACATTAGATCGTCTTCGCTTAATACATACTTTATTCGTTCGATGCATAATAATTCATCACATTATAATATTTGTTTGTATATTCCAATTAAAATTTAAAATGAGCAAAAAAATGGATGCGTAATAATATACAATACAAATGTTAAAACACGTGAGACTTTTTAAACCAAGGCCGATCCAAGCACAACCCATGCATGCCACACGATGGGATGTGTCATGGGTTAACACAAATCTATTGACTTGTTATTTAGACTTAATCGTAGTAATTTAAAACTAACGTATATTAGAAAAAATTGACAAACCCTGACACGATCTAATAGATGCTTTAAAGTCGAGCCAATTTACACCTCTATCTATCCAATCCACCGAATAGTAAAATCACGAAAAATAGTAGACCAATATATAAAACTACAGTAGACTAGCAGTTGCAGGCTCAGACCCCCAACAGTTACATTGACTCATAACTGCTCATTTCTCGTGAAGCTAAAGTTGAATTTTCATTTTACGAAGTTGGATTTGCAATTATGCTATTTGTATATTTTACAAAGTTGTTTTCAATTTACATTCACAACCCCCTCTCTCTCCGACAGTGCACAAAACACCTGACCCGGGGAAGCTGTTACTTATAGTAACATTGTTGTTTCATAGGCTCCATTTCTTGTATCCATTTTCTTGTAACCTAGTTCTATTTTGCATACACTCATCTTCCTCAAATCCACTTCTTTTTGTACCAATATTTCCATTTTTAGTCTGATTTTATTGTCTCTGAGCTTTGTTCTTCAACTATATTTTATTTTCATGAAACGAGCCCAGTTCAAGAAAATGAAAACTTCATGTTGGTTTTTTAAGCAAAATTCAATAAGCATTTAGTCTTTTGATTCTTCTTCTGGGTTTCTTGAGAGGATTAAAAAATACCTTTTTTAACACATTGAAGGCAACCCAAGAATGGCAATTTTGAGTTTGTTGAACATTTTGCTTTTTGTGTTGTTCTTGAGGTCTCAACTTGTGATTTCTCAAGTGTCTGATGATGAAATTACATTATTAGCCATTGGGAAAGAGTTCAGATTATCTGGGTGGGGAATTAATAACTCAGGTTACTGTTCTTGGCCTGGAATTGTTTGCAGCTTGAACAATTCAACGGTGGAGAAGCTTGATCTTTCTGGGCATGGACTTCAAGGTAATTTCACTCTAATTTCTGAGCTCAAAGGACTAAAATGGCTTGATCTTTCAAACAATAATTTCCATGGAACAATCCCACCAGTTTTTGGGAATTTATCTCAGCTTGAATTTATTGATTTGTCATTTAATAAGTTTGATGGCTCAATATCTGTGGAATTCAGTAGACTCAGAAATCTTAGAGCATTGAATCTTTCGAATAATTGGCTAACTGGAGCGATTCCTGATGATCTTGAGAGTCTAGAGAATTTGCAAGATTTTCAAATATTTACTAATAAATTGAACGGTTCTATCCCATTGTGGGTGGGGAATTTGAGTAATCTGAGAGTTTTTACGGCGTACGAAAACGATTTGAGTGGTATGATCCCGGATACGTTAGGTGCATTTTCCGAACTTGAGTTGTTGAACCTTCATTCGAATAGGCTAGAGGGGCCGATTCCTGAGAGCATTTTTGCTATGGAGAAGCTTGAAGTTTTGGTTTTGACGCAGAATTTATTGGCCGGCAGTATTCCTGAATCGATTGGGAATTGTAAAGGCCTTTCGAGTATTAGGATTGGGAACAACAATTTCATTGGGAACATTCCTAAAGAGATTGGGAATATCAGTAGCCTTACTTACTTTGAAGCGGATAACAATGATCTCTCAGGGGAGATTGTCTCCGAGTTTTCGAAATGCTCTAATCTCACTCTCCTTAATTTAGCCTCAAATGGCTTCACAGGAACCATCCCGACTGAGTTTGGTGAACTCAGCAATCTGCAGGAGTTGATTGTTTCTGGGAATAGTCTGTTTGGAGAGATTCTCACTTCAATTCTCATGGGCAAGAATCTTAATAAGCTCGATTTAAGCAATAACGGATTCAATGGCTCCATACCGGAGAGCATTTGCAACACATCTAAACTGCAATACCTGCTACTAGGTCAGAATTCGATAAGAGGGGAGATACCTCATGAGATTGGGAACTGCACGAAACTGCTCGAATTACAAGTGGGAAGTAACTATCTGACAGGAAGTATTCCTCCCGAGATTGGACATTTAAAGAACTTGCAGATTGCACTTAATTTAAGCTCGAATCATCTCCATGGTCAATTGCCCCAAGAGCTCGGAAGACTCGACAAGTTGGTTTCTTTGGACCTCTCCAATAATCAGTTCAGTGGAAATATTCCGGCTACTCTGAAGGGCATGCTTAGTTTGATAGAGGTTAATTTTTCGAATAATCATTTCACTGGTCCAATACCTTCCTTTGTGCAGTTTCAAAAGAGCCCAAGTTCGAGCTTTCTTGGAAACAAAGGGCTATGTGGTGAACCATTAAGTATTTCATGTGGAAGTTTGGATGCTTATGGTCATAATAATGATTACCATCGCAAGGTCTCGTACAGGATCATATTAGCTGTTATTGGTTCTGGTTTGACCGTTTTTCTATCTGTGATGGTAGTCGTTTTGTTGTTTATGATAAGGGAGAAACAAGAAAAAGAGACCAACGATGTGGGAATTTCTGCTGATGAAACTAGTAATAAGCCAGTATTATTAGCAGGAAATGTTTTTATCGAAAACCTCAGGCAGGCTATAGAGTTCGAAGCAGTTGTCAAAGCAACCATGAAAGAGTCGAACAAGCTCAGTAGCGGAACGTTTAGCAATGCCTACAGAGCGGACATGCCTTCAGGGATGACTTTGTCCGTCAAAAAACTGAAATTGATGGATAAAATTATAATCCATCATCAGAACAAGATGATCAGAGAACTCGAAAAACTGAGTAAACTCTGTCATGACAATCTGATGAGACCTATGGGGTTTGTGATCTATGAAGATGTCGTTCTTTTGTTGCACCAATACTTTCCAAATGGGACATTAGCTCAGTTTCTTCACGATGCTACGAAGAAACTGGATTACGAACCCGACTGGCCATCAAGACTTGCCATTGCCATCAGTGTGGCAGAAGGGTTAGCATTCCTCCACCACGTGGCCATTATCCACCTCGATATCTCATCCAGTAATGTATTTCTAGATTCCAATCTTAAGCCTTTGGTCGGTGAAGTTGAAATATCGAATCTCCTCGACCCATCCAGAGGGACGGCAAGTATTAGTGCTGTTGCCGGTTCATTTGGATATATTCCTCCAGGTAACCCTTTAGTTGGAATGCTTAGTAATGAATTCTTTCCTTCCATTATAATCTGTCTAATGCTTTTTGTGTTTAACTTGTTCAACAGAGTATGCGTATACAATGCAAGTTACAGCACCGGGAAATGTTTATAGCTATGGAGTTATGTTACTCGAGATCCTTACAACTAGACTACCAGTCGATGAGGAATTCGGTGAAGGTATAGATTTGGTGAAGTGGGTTCATACTGCACCTGCACGAGGGGAAACCCCCGAGCAGATTCTTGATGCAAGGCTAAGCACCATCTCCTTTGCTTGGAGAAAAGAAATGCTTGCGGCTCTAAAGGTGGCCCTATTTTGCACTGAAAGCACACCAGCCAAACGGCCCATGATGAAAAAGGTGGTTGAAATGCTTAAAGAAATCACGCAAAACTAGTTATTGTGGAAATCACCAGGGTTCTCTTATTCCCAACTCTAGCTGTCTAGACGAATTAGAAGGAGGGCAAAAAAGAGTGTCCTATCAGAGTAAAAATTGTATCGCGGTCATGAGGTAGCCCTTCAAACATATAATGAAATATTGAGGGGTTGCTTTTATTCTACCTCATAAACTTGGAGATTTCCCCATGATCGATTCTTCTGTTTGACTGGGATTTGCTTTATTGAACAAGAATGCAGTTGTTGTAGATATGATTTTTATTTTTTTCCCCTTTCTTCTCGTAGTTCATCCCATCTGTCTACGGAGTTCTCAGTTGTTTGTTTATGTTTATTAGCAAGAAATGTTTGTTTATTGGTGTCTACCGAAGTTTAGGCATCGATATCATGCAAAATTCATAACAGTTGCTGCACATGATAACACTTCGGTTCCATCATTGATCTGCATCTGATGCAGATCGCGTGTATTAATTGTCCCGAAAGGAGATTCTCAATATAAAAAAATATGGGATTGTTGCATCTTCGAGTTAGCTACGAGTATTTTTTCCTCATTTCTTGTTGAATGGAAAGGATTCTTTCTACAGCATTGATTTTAAATAAATGATATAAAATAAAAATGTGCTTCATGTACTCTTGGTGATGTTTGTACAAAATTAGACTAAACAATGCAATAGACGAGATTTTAACTTTTTTTTTTATTCTTTAATTGTGTTCAATGTTGTCTAAATCCTTATCTCTTTCATTTGGATCTAGAAAATATGGAGAGAAGTTTCTCAAACTCTTAATGTGAAGTTCTGTTGTAGTTCTGTTGAATCCAAAATTCTCATGGTACAAAATACGAGTAACTACTTACATATCTCCAACTCGTTTATCATAAGTTTATCTAATTGAATCATTAATAGGCACTTGTCATAGAGAAAAGAATCCCTCTAGTTAGCACCCATCTTAAAACTGGAGCCAATCCATATTCATGTCTATGAAGAGTTATATCATGATAAAAGATTGATGAATGCAGCTTCTAATATGTGGATATTTCTGTATAGATCCACCATATTGAATGTCCAGAACAAGCAAATTATTTTACTCTGCTGCATAAAATAAATAGTACCTTCGGAATGCGCAGAGGATTTCTATTAGCATATTCACATAGTTACCCAATCATCCGATCGTTTTGTTCTCCATCCTATAAAGTAAAAACAAATATATGTGACATCAACAACAATGAAAAATGTGATACTTGTAACATCATGACCCACGGAAAATCATAGCTCATTCACTTAATACTTCTCGATGAAGCAATAATATGATGCTTTTCCACACAATATACGTCAATGAAAAGGGTAATAGGTAGAGCTAAAGAAGCAACCACAAGGTCTTCACAAGATGACGTGAATGGAATTCTAAACTTGTTAATGCCAAATTATAAATACATTTCAATAATAATAGCTTTTCCAACGAAATGACCAAAAGAAAGATATTCTCCAATTCCTTGTCATATTCACAGAAAAGAAGTTACCATATCCGTTTAAAAATCCAATATATAACTTGAACTCTAGTAAAATCATAATGCAGATATTATACATCTTGAACATCATTGTATAATCCCAAGCCTTGTCAATAAATTTAGAGAGGTTACAATGTAGTATCCACAAAACTAACATATGATTCATGAACTAACTGGTACCGAGGAAATATGTCGACAATCAACTTCTTGTACCTTTTCATAGGCTGTCTCAACCTGGCTTGCATTAACGGACAAAAGAAACAAAGGCTGCCGCATGCAGGCAATACTTGTCTCGAGATCACACTCGAAACAGCACTCATATTTCAAAGTTAACAAATGCAAAGCTATTATTTTTTCCTTTTTCCCAAATTATCCTCCAAATTGTATGCCTTTTCCCCTTCTTTATCTCGAAAACTGGAGATTATTGGAAACTAATAAATAAAACAGAAGGGAAAGAAAAAGTCAAATTCTGGTACCAGCCTAGAAAAGGCCAAAATTCAAAGCCAAATTGCATCAAAATTTCGTCAAGCTATTTCGAGATATAACACAATTTCAAAATTCAAGAACATGGTTAGCTCATAAATCACAAGAAAAATTCAAAATTCTTTCAGGGTTCCAAGAATCTTGAATAATTGAGATTTCTATAAGAATAAATAAACATATACATACAATTATATATATTTACCAATATGCATGTCTCTATAAATAATTAATCTTTTTCTTTTTTCGTGGACAAAACGCAAGACAACCCATGAAAACCGATCAACCCCACCCAACCTGACCAGGTTGGGCCGATTTTTTGGTATCTTTAGGCGGGTTTCGAGGTATTGGGTTACGCTACCGGGTCGGGTTGTGGGTTAAGCAAGACAACCCGGTATAACCCACACCGACCCGACCCGACCAACATAAAAAATTGGAAAAAAAAAAGCGACTAAATATAAAAGGGAAAGAAGCCCTAGAATTTTCAGTCGGTCTTCTTTTCTTCTTCACTCTCCACTCCCGCCGCACAGCACAAAAAGCCCTAATCTTTCTCAATTTCTCGTCCAGTCATTTTCTCTCAACTTGGGGGTGGGTTTTGATCGACTCAAAGGAAAATATATTCTATTACTTACCCGATTCAATTCAAGATTGGAATCTGTTTTGCACGGGTAGTCGCTAACAATTAAAAGGAAATTCAGACGATTGTGTAAGGGACAAACCTCTTGAGACAAAGTCCCAAAAAGGGGTGCTTTATTGATGAGAGTTACAATTGGAACTAAACAGAATGCCTCTAAGGGGCGCAAGTACATGAGTATTGAAAGAAGGATAATTAAAGTTAATCTAAAAAATTGAAATTAAATATTTTCTGTTTGAGAGTATTTGATTTGGGGTCTTTTCCTCTATATCTATTCTTTCCTTTTATATTCCCATGATGATTTTTGCATGACAAATCGCTGGAA